ACAAGGTGTCTCATTGGCCTGATGCTTGGCCGGATGGCTAGGCTGGCTGGGACCCCAACATCAGGAACATATCTGTTTCCACCTTCCCAGGGCAGAGATCACAAGAACATGCCCCAACTCTCAGCTTTTCCCTGGGTTATAGGGATAAAGCCCTGGAACCCACCTGCAAGGCAAACTCTTTACCAACTAACTTATTTCCCCAGCCCTGTGTTTTAAATTTCTGATTCAAGGCTACAGAAGTCCAAGTAACATCTCCATTTTCTTTCAGGTTTCTGTGTCAAAATTTTCTACATTAAACCAATTAAGTATAAAGGTTCTGTCAAGAAGGGTGAGAAGCTGGGCACCCTGCTGCCCTTGCAGAAAGTTTACCCCGGCATCCAGTCGCACGTACACATTGAAAACTGTGACTCCAGCGACCCCACGGCATACCTGTGAGTGCAGACACCACCAGATCCTGTCCAGAGTGGAGCACGAACACGTCTGCCCTGAAGAAACGTGCGTTCCAACAGAAACACAATCAGTGCAAACCCCACACTTCTGATTCCAACCCATCGTCACCCTGACCTTCCTGACACCCAGAGGACCAGGGTGCTTTTGTATTTTAGGTTTTTAAGTCCTGATGACTGAAATAAACAAATGAACCCCAATATGTCCAGACTGTATTTCTGAGACCCCTGAACTAGCTGCTTCTCTGCCTGAGAGGGACAAAGAGCTTGAAGGTCTTTCCATGACCCAAGGATGAAGAGGTGCTCTCAGGCAGGCTTGGCACATGCCCTTAATAAACCTTTTATGCTGAGGCGATGGGATCTCAGCCACGCACTTACCTTTTGTCAGGCTAGCTGGAGGGACAGCTGGTCACAGGGTGAAGGTCGCTGGTCTTTCTATCCATACTTTTTTGTGCTCCAGGAAAGGAACAGGCTTCCTGAGAAGTGATGGTGGCCTCCTCGAGAAGACAGCACATCCTAGACCTCAGTGAGGCTGCCTACACACAGGGCGTGCGAGGATGAGAAAGAGAACTACTCTTAACTGAGGTTGTCTGAGGATCGAGGTCAGGCGGCCTCATCCAGCAAGGTCACACATCATAATACATATAATACCCAACATATCATATATCACTCCTTAAAGCTGCTGACAGCAAGTACTAGGGGAAAACAAAACCAAGTAGATGTGCAAAGACAGAAAAATTCTAGCTCTAAACAGGTCAGTAAGGAATGACTAAACTGGAGCAATCGTCTGGAAATTTCACTCACGAAATTTTGCTTCCGTCCTTTTGAAATGTAGGATGGTTCCATCCTTACTTATAGGTTTTTCAAGGGAAAAGACAATGAATTGGCCTTTATTACTGGAGCAATGACTCCGTTTGTATTCCGATGAATAATGATGCCCACAACAACACTACTTGTCATAGTAAAACCAGGGACATAATTACAGAGCCAAATATCATACAGAAGTCATCATTAATAATGTGCAGTTGAATATGACAAGATATACAAATGACAGAAGAAATCAGTAATTCAAGGAAAGTGAAAAATTTACAAAAAGCGGGACACTCTTTTTATAATGTCGAAACAAATAAAAACACAATTTCCAAGAACACATATAGGTGATAAAATTAAGGAAGAAAGGACAGAGGGGAGGAAGAAAATAAATAAAAACCTAATTACCACAGGGTTAGGAAGAGCGAGTCACACACATTCCAGTCACCACAGTGGCACCGTTGTGCAGACTAGGGTGATACATGAGTATTTCCTGTGAACTAATAGTGTGTCATAGAGGCAACTGGACATGCATGTATGTAGGTGGCTGGAGGAGTTAGTGATGTTTCCCAGTCATTTAAGGACCCATGCAGGTTCTCTGTCAGCATCCACCATGTCACAATAGCTACACAAGACCAGCACGTTATAATTTAGGTTTTAGGGCTGGAGAGATGGCTCAGAGGTTAAGAGTACTGGCTGCTCTTCAAGAGGTCAATTCTCAGCAACCACATGAGGGCTCACCACCATCTCTAATGTGATCTGGTGCCCTCTTCTTGTCTGCAGGCAGAACACTATTAAATAAGTAGAAAACAAAATAACCAACAAAACAAAACAAAAAACCCCAGAGATTTAAGTTTTGCCAGAAAGTGGTGGTGCATGACTTTAATCCCAGTGCATGGGAAGCAGAAGCAGAAGGAGCTCTGAGTTTGAGCCAGCTTGGTCTACAGAGCAAGTTCCAGGACAGGCTCCAAAGCTACAAAGAAAAACCCAGTCTCAAGCCACCTGCCCCCAATTTAATACTGATTAAAAAATATATGATATGTATCACCAATTTGATGACCTTCTGTAGTGCTCATTGGTGTCGAATAACTTTGTACTGTTTTGAGGGCTTGCGTTTGCTTTCAATGGACGAGCGTCAGGCTCCTGCTGCAGACATAGAGGAAGTGCTGTAGGCTCGGACAGCAGTTGAAAACGCTCTATCTGACCTATGAAGTTTGTGCTCAGCCTTCCAAACAATCAACATTCTGGACCGGTGCTTAGGAGGTGAGACACAGTTAAATATGACTAGCACCCTCAAAACCAAGCCGATTGTCTGGAGTAGGGAGGGAGAACGTCCAGAGCAGCATGGTGCACTACCTTCCGCCTGCCAGCATTTTATAGAAACGCCAACTCCAGAGGAAGAACGTCTTTCCTAGGAAGAACTAGAATACAGCGCCCTCTAGTGCATTATATCAGAGCTGCTCGTGGGCTCTGATTTAAAGTTCAAATGACAAGAGAAAGAATACCAAGTAACTTTGCTTTTTCTTCATAAAAGTTATTATAATAGACACCTCAAAATGTGGTTCCAGACATTGCCAGGTTTGATAAGTGTAAGTTAATATAAGTAAAAGGATTTTTATTTTGAAAATGCTTTTAGTTGCAAAAAATTAATTTAATGGAACAGCAAGGTCAGCAGTCAATTTAAGAGGTTAGGGCCACAGCAGGGTGAACTCGTATCTTTGAAGGGGGGATTACATTACGGCGATGCAGATGCATCTGATAATGTCTGCCAACCCTCCTGACTCATCCCCGGATACTGTGCACAAAGCAAACGAGGCCTGCAAGGACCACAGCAAGGAAAAGGGGGAAAAAAAGCGACAATTCAGGTTTTTGTTTGTTTGTTTCTTTAGTTTGACATACAGAAAGATCCTTCTTTCCTCTCTCTCCACTTACTTTTGCCCACAAAATTATCTGAAAGTTCCCCAAATCCTCCAACAAACACAAGTATTTTAACACGAACAAGCATGCAAACAGGACTAAGATGCTCTCAACACTAACGTTTATGACCCATCTGTACGAAACGCACTCATCTAGCCAGGTCCTCTGACCATAGGCAAAGCAGAACTCACGGGTTTCCAAAGGACATGGGGAGACATCCATAGGGAGACACTACAGATACAGCATTTTCTTGTATTGTTCTCGGCCGTCTTTAAAATCTTTGCCCTTCCTTTCACTAACCCAGGAGGTGACCGACCAGGGGAATGGACATGAATTAATAAACGTCGGCCACCATGACTCATTACAGCGTTGAGTTCCTGAGGTTCCCATAGGAGCCCTAAAAAGCTCTACTTAGAGCACAGCATCTCATACTTCTCGGAGGGCCCAGTGTCTTCCTCTTCCAGCGCAACTGGCTGTAGGGAAAGCCATTCCTTGGTGTCTCTTCTCTAGTCCCAATGTTCTGCTCCCTTAGCCCCTAGGGCAAGCATCACTGGCAATTGGTCACCTCACTATGCAGGTGTGCACACCACTGGGGCCAGGTCACCTCGCTATGCAGGTGTGCACACCACTGGCACCTGCTATACAGGTGTGCACACCACTGGCACCTGGTCACCTCGCTATGAAGGTGTGCACACCACTGGCACCTGGTCACCTCACTATGAAGGTGTGCACACCACTGGCACCCAATCACCTCGCTATGCAGGTGTGCACCCACTGGTACCCGGTCACCTGGCTAGCAGGTGTGCACAACATTATCTCACCAAGGCAACAGCAAGTGAGGTCATAGGTTTATCTACTCAGTATTTCCATTACCCTGCCCCTACCTCCATCGTAGTGAAGCCATTTCTCTTACGCCTGTGTTGTCGTTGCCCTGATTAGATTTCAAGTTTTCAATTACGGCACACCTTTCTGGGTCTTAGGTATAAATGATATTATCTGCAATACTAAGAACTCTGACCTCGAGAGAGGTTTTAGTATTGTTACCCAAGACAACGCACAGCTCTAAGAGCGAGGAACACACGTGACCATAAGTCACCTGTCTCAGAGCTCACCATGAGAATGAATGAGGAAGGACAGTCTACTTCCAAACTGTTTACAAACTACAGTGCGTCCTAATTGCTTAACAGGTGAGGATACTCACATTTTAATAGTGAAATGGACTCAAAACTGAAAAATAATAAGCATGTTTCTCTTTTTGAAGGCTGACTTCTAATAATTGTACACATACACACACTCACACACAGAGAGCAGTGATCTTGTACCGGGGAGTTTACGGCACAATGAAGTGCGCAGGTCATAATGAGACAAGCAGATCATACACAGCACAACAGTGGGCGTTACAAAGGAGAGCAGAGTACTCAGGATGTGAGCTAAGGGTCTGACCCAGGAGCTGGGAAAGGTGTCAAGGACGACTTCCCCTCGGAAGTGCCACAGGGGAAAGAAAGATCTGGGGGAGCACAGAGGGAGCGGGTAGAGAGATGCCTGTGGTAGCAGAGGGCAGAGCAGTTGGAGGGACAGAGAAGGAGAGAAGTGGGCAAAGGGCGGGCACAGAGCACCCAGGCAACTGCTCAGACGACATCTTCATCCTGAGGACAAGCTGGAGAAGGGCGTCACCAGTGTGACTAATCAGATGACAGGCCACATACGCGAAAGACATGGCACAGTCCAGATCAACAGCAGCAGGCCAGTAAACACTGATTTCCAAACACATCCTACAAAACTCACCTCTGTACCCACACCGTGTATTCAATTAATAAACACAGTACCTTCTATTTGCTGTATTTTATGAAATGAATTAGCATTACTGGATTTTAACATAATACTAATTACCTTCCAAGTTTATCTAAAAATGAATTTAAAATACTCTAGAAATCAAAGTTGTTTACTAATAAATAAATCACAAAATGCCAAAAAGATTTTAAGTACAATGACACACACCTCTATAATGGTACCTTGATTTTTAACAGTATGTGCTTTGTAAAACATATTGATACCAAATGAAGCTGATGAAATTAAAATAACATGAGGTTGTAACATAAAAATACGTAACTTAAAGGGATCTAATACTGTAAATTGTAATTACATATTAATTATAAATTTAGTATAAATTTCTTAGTAAACTAAACATGCCTCCAAAGGTTGAGAAATGGAAGTCTCTCTCAGCCTTGGACACCTGTAGTCTATCCTACCAATGCTCTAATTAACACACAGTGCCTGTGTCCTACTGACAAAGACTTCTGGCTATTTAAATTTGCTATATTGTTTTCAAATGATTCTACGGAAACCAATTAAGAGATTTGGCAAACAGCAAATATTTAACCTAACACAGTTCAGTGGCTCATCTCAAAAATTACATTTACATGGACAGACAACAGCTAATCCTACTAACAGAGAATTCGGAACCTTTGGCAGCTGGTTACCAGATAGGCATCACATCCGGGAACCACACTCTTCCCAGGTGCTTAGAGACTTCAGCGTGAACTTCGTCTGGGGTGTAATTGTCATCAGGGACCAGAACCTCCTCCATGATTGACAGCTGGGTGAGCCTTCGGCCACAGAGTCGTACAAACTCGACGAAGGCGCTGCAGCTGACCTCACACTCGCTCAGGCCCAAGGCTGTCAGGTTTTGACAGTGCTCAGCAATGCCAATAAGTTCACTGTCCAGGGGCTGAAGGCCATTGGCACACACCACTAACTCAACCAGCCGTGGGCAGTGCACACCTATCCGGCCTAGAATGGCCCTGCTCACTGAACGCCCGAAGTAAACGTGAGTGACGGGGGTCTCTTCTTGGAAGAATGTCTCAAGCTCCTCTTCATATAAGAAGAAGTACATGACAACACTGACCCCGGGAGAGTGTTTCATCAGCGCGTCCCAACTGCGTTTTTTAATGGGGTGGAACTGGATCTGCCCAGGGTTCTCACTCACAACATCTATTCGGAGATGTTGGAGGTTCACGTGAGTCTCACGTGACAGCGCAAGGAGCAGCTCATCGCTCAGAATGTAGTAATTCAACGCCAGCTCTCGGAGGCCCCGATAGTGGTCGGCCACACAGAGGATCCCTGCGGGAAATGGAGGAAATCCTTAAGAACAAAGAATCACGCTGATACTAAAACAGATGAGGTCAACTTAAATTTTCTCTTAGTTATTTTAGTACAACAGATAACTAATGATGTTTGGGAAAATGGCCGCTAACGTGTGTGTGTGTGTGTGTGTGTGTGTGTGTGTGTGTGTGTGTGTGTGCAGGTTAATTAAAAATTTCCCCATACATAGGGCTGGGGGAGGGATATGCAAACCGCTGCAGCCACTAAGGAGATTGGTGTGGAGGTTCCCAAAGAGCCAAACCTAGAGCTACCATAAAACTCTCTGTACCCATCTTAGGGACACCTGAAAGGCTAATTCAGCACAGCAGAGACACTTGGGCAACCACGTTGACTGAGGCACTATTCACACGAGCTGAGACGGGGAAACAGCCTAGGAGTCCAGCAACAGGTGAGTGTGGGTAAAGAAAATGTTCTCTGTATGTGTAACGACTTCTACTGAGTCATAAGAACGGAATTGTGACACTTTCAGCAAAATGAATCAACTGGAGATTACTGTGTTAAACAAAATAAGGTAGGTTCATAAAGATAAATGTCACACTTCCTAACATACTCCAAGTTTATATTTAAGTTCACACACACGAGTACATATGTGTGTACACACACATGCACATATACACGCACACACACATACATGTAAGGCGTGAAAGCTCAGTATGTTCTAGTTTCCTCTCATGGCTGCGATAAAACACTGACCAAAATCAAGGTGAAGAGGAAAGGGGTCATTTGGCTTAGACATCTAGACCATAGTCCATCTTGACCGAAGCCAGGACAGGAACCCGAGGCAGAAACTGAAGGCAAGATGATGGAGAAATGCCACTCACAGGTTTGTTTCTGTGGTTACTCGGCTTGCTTTTCCACACAGTCCAGGACTACCACACAGGGGCAGCACTACTCATGGGAGACTGGGCCCACATCAATTCTTAATTAAGAAAATGTCCCCACTGATGGAGGCATTTTCTCAATTGAGGTTCTTTCTTCCCGGATGACCTTAGCTTGGGTCAGCTGGAAAGAGCCAGCAAGCCTGAAAGGGGCTATGGCAGGGAAGAACGATGGAGAAACAAAGTGATGGGTACCTGTGATATGAAAGCAAAAGGGGGGGGAAGAGGGCCAGGAAGGGGAGAGGGGAGGCCGATAGGCATAATGAATAACAACACAATATATACATGAAAATGCCATGATAAAACCTACTACTTTGGGGCATTAATTTAAAAAATTAACTAGAAAAAAATGACAGACCAATCTTCCTGATGAACATTCATGCCAAAAATCCCAACCAAACACTTGCAAATCTTGCTGGCAGGAATAGCTGAGTTTGGATACCCAGAACCCATGTAAGGCTGCATGTGGAAGCATTTTTGCAATCTTAGCACACCTACAACAAGACGGAAGCTGGGGATGCAGAATTCCCAGAAGGTCTTTGGTCACCTGACCTGGTGTCTACAGTAGCAGACAAGATACCATGTCTCAAAGAAGTTGGATGGTAAAGACACATTCCTGATTTCTACACATGTGCCACAGCCTATGTGTCCCCAGCACTCTAAACGATGAGTACACACACATACGTGCGCACGCACACACACACGCACAAACATGCACACACATGCTTAAAAATGCTTGCAAATCAAATATAGGAACATATTAAAAAGGACATTCGGCATGACGAGGTCGGCTTTATTCTACAGTTGCAAGAGATATTCAACGTGTGCCGGTCAGTAAATGTAAGACATCACATAAACGGTCTTAAAGACAGAAATCACATGATTTTCTTGATAGAAGCAGAAAAGGGTTTGAACAAAATGCCACATTCCTTCATGATAAAAGCCTTGAAGAGAGTGGAAGCAGAAGGAATATGTCTTAACATAACAAAGGCTGCCATCTATGACGAAAGTGTGTCTCAACATAACAAAAGCTGTCTATGATGAACCTGCAGCCAGCATTATACAAACGGGAGAAAATTCCAAAACATTCTGACTAAAACGAGGAACAAATCAAGGCTGCTCACGTCCTCCACTCTTACTACAGTAACAGAAGCCTTAGGACACCAAGCCGAGAGAAGCAAATGAAAGGGATATAAATATGGGAGTTGGCTGGTTTTATGTTAACTTGACACAAGAGTCATCTGGGAAGAAAAATCTGAATTGAGAAAATGCCCCCACCAGACGTCCTGTGGTGAGTTTTCTTACTTAGCGATTGATATCAGAATGCCAAGCCTATTGTGGGTGGTGTCACCCTTTGGCAGGCAGCCCCGGGATGTATTAAAAAGCAGGCTGGTCAGGCCATAGGAAGCCAGCCAGTAAGCAGCTCTCCTCTTTCCTTTATGGCCTTGTATCACTTCCTGCCTCCAGGTTCCTGTCCTGATTTCTCTGGACGATGGACTGCAAGCCAGAAGATGAAATAAACCCTCTCTTCCCCAAGATGCTTTTGGTCACAGTGTTTTTATCACAGCAACAGAACCTGAAGACAAGAGGAAAGGAAATAAAGAACTTGCAGACGACATGCTTCTCTACATAAGACTCTCCAGGAAAACCTTGAGAGCTGCTGAGCACCGGCAAAGAGTGGCAGGATGCAAAATGAACATGCAAAAACCACTGCATTTTTCTACATTCCAATAACACATGTGCTAAGGCAGAAATCAGGAAAACCATCCATTCACAACTGCCCCCACCCCACATGGCACACCTTGGAATAAACACATCTACAATGAAAACTTCAAAGCAAGTGAAACAGACACTAGATGATGGCCGCATGCTCTGGCTGCAGGGTGTAGACAAATCAAGCTGAAACCGAGCTGGAAATTTCCTGCAGGCTAGCTCTCATAATGCTTCCAAGTGCTATGAAGGCTGACGGGGGAGTCTTACTCAGCTATGAACCCTGTGCGCTGCCAGCCTCCAGTAGACAACAAGTGCCCACCGCTGCCACAGTTCCATGACTGTCTCGGGAATAACTTTCTCATTGAATCTGAGGGCCACTCCACAGAAGAGAACTCATACTTGGTACTGTAAACCTGTTCAAAGCCCATGGTCGGAAGGCCATAGGCCCTGACACGGAAGCTTCTACTGGCATTCTGCTAAGTAGGCGTGCTATGCCCATCAGACTGACCTTATTATGCTCGCTCGTGGATGAATGCTGCTTAGCCGTTGTCAGAGAAGCCCCATTTTATAATGGACAGCAGTGACTGCAGGGACTTTAATTGGTAAGAGATGAAAATATAAGTGATTTTTGAGTGCTCAGTCCTAAGAGAGCATCTGTATAACTCGCTGGCCGAGACTCAGGAAAGACGGCAGAAAGAGGGGTGGGAAGGATGCGAGAGACAGAGGAAGTACACGGAATGCAGAGACAGTATTCCGTGGACATGACACTGTTTGCTGCACTCGTGGGCTCACAGCCACTGAAGACACCCTCCAACATGGCATCACGGGTAGGAAGGGGCTCATGAGGGAGGTCCCACCCCTCTGCGAGGAGCTTTCTCTGCTGAGTGTTGCTAGGGGAGAAGATTTCTTCCCATGGTGTTGCCACTGGTAAATTGTCCATGATCTAATAATCCCAATAACACAGAGGGTCAGCAAAATGGAGAAGAAATTAACTAGAAGGGGGGCTAACTGGGAAGAAGAAGGGAAGGAACAAGAGAAGGTAACTGGAGCGAACATGATCAAAATATGTTATGTACATGCATGAAATTGTCAAAAATGGGTCACTAATTTTGACAAGATTAACACATGTCCAAGGGGGAAATATTCTCTGAAGAAGCAACTTACATCTAATTTGAAGATGATTGCTTTTGATAAAATTCTTAAAAATTATGATCCAAAGGCGTGTACTTTTCAATAGGTAATTTGTTGTTACTATAGTAAAAACCATCGATCAATTTACATAAAAAGTACGACCTACCATCAGACGAAACATGAGGACAGCTGCTCATTTTCAGGAGTCGCAGAGTGTCACTACTGTTGGCCACGAGAATCTTCAGGGAGGGATCGTCCACAGGCGCATCTCCGATCTTAACTGATGAGAACGACTTTGAGTTGACAAACACAACTGTAAGCGCTGACACAAAATGAGACTCGCATGCCAATAAGAAAAAATTATGAAAACGTTATTTAAAACTCCTACTTTCAAACAAGTAGCATTAAAAAACAAATTCTTAGGTGCTAAAATACAGTAAAAATAGACTATGTTTTCATGCTATTACTATTAGACGACATTCCTATTTCCTTTTAAATAAAATTTCAAGTTAGTATCAAAGTATGGGTTCCATCCCGGCACTCTCATGCTCGTTTGTCTCTGTGCGTCCCTCTTCTCCACGCCCTTCTCTCTGCCTTTCCCCATCCTCCCGACCCATCTATCTCTGGTCCCCTCATCCCTCCAAATACTCCTGCTCTCATCATCTGGATTCCAGTGTCTTCCTCTCTCTCCCCGCTTCCCTCTTCCGTGGTTCTCTTTCTACTTTCATAACCTCAAACACACACACACAGACACACACTCACATTCACGCTGGACACATGGAGTCTGCACATGAGAGAAGGCATGCAGTATTTGTTGTCCTGAGTTTGACCTATTTCAGCTAACATCTTCATGTCTACTTCCACATATTTTCCTGAAAATATCATGATTTTGTATTTCTTCAAGGTGAAAAAAAATTCTACTGTGTATGTACTATGCTTCACCCATTGTCTGTTGATGGACATCTAGGCTGGTTTGTCTTCTTAACTATTGTGAGCAGTAAGTCAGCAAACATGGCTATGCATGCATCTCTGTGTAGTTTATCACTTCAGGTAGTTTGCCAGTAGCATAACTTGTAATACATACTGTATTTTGTAATATACAGACAGCATACAGTAATTTGTTTAGTATGGGTTCTTGCCTTTGGTAGGGGATTAGGTGGTGGTAGGTGTCTGAGCTCAATTTTAGAGCTTACATTCTATTCCAATGACTTCTCTACAGGGTAAGAGATGAGGATCCAGTTTCATTCTTCTACATCCAGTTTTCCAACCAACATTTGCTGAAGATGCTGCGTTTTTTTTTTTTTTTTTTTTATTTCCAGTGCATGCTGTACCTGTTTGGTCTCATTTTCAGGTTTTATATTCTATAACACTGGCTTGTATGTCTGTTTTTGTAACCATCCCAAGCCTAGTTTCTGTAACTGTGGCTCTGAGCTATAACTCAAGCCCAGCTTTTGTACTTGCACGTTGTTCTTTCTGCTTAGAATTGCTGCAGCAATGAGGGTCTCTTTGTGCTTCTGTATCAACAGCAGAACTGTTTTCTCTACCGCTGTGAAGACTGGAATGTGTTTCTGATGGAGACTGTTGAGTCTCTAAGCCACTTTGGCCAATGCAGTCATTTTCTACACTACCAATCCTGCCATAAGGTTTCTCCATCTTCTTAAATTCCTCTCTGATGTCCTAAGGTTTCCATTGCAGGGGTCTCCCACTGCCTTTCTCCACAGTTAGGTTTAATTCTGAGTTTAATTCTGGGTCTTATGGGGGCATTATAAATGGGATTTTCTTCTTTCTTGGCAGTTTCATTATTAATATATAGAAAGGCTACAGACTTTTGTGTGGTGACTTTGTGTCTTGTTACTTTGCTGGAGTTTAAGACTTCTCCGGTGAGCTCTCTAGGACCTTGTAAGTACAGACTCAAGTCTGCAAGTGTGAGTAATCGTTCTCTTCCTTTCCCATCTGTATCCTTTTTATTTATTTCTCTAATGATAGAGCTCTAGCTAGGATTGCATGCATTATATTGAATTAAGAGTGGTTAGGTGGACATTCCTATCTAACTTTAGAGGAAGGTTGGGGTGTTTAACTCTGGGAAAAGCCTCACGTGTCCAGTGAGATGATCACATGATTTCCATTTCTAAACCCATTTTGTGTGTTACATAACATTGAATGATATGCAAAACCAACCTTGAATCTCTGGGGGAAAACTAACTTGTTTGTGGTGTAGGTTTGAAAATGGAACAATGAGAAAGGAAAAATTCCAAATATCTCCTAAAGGATGTCTTAGCTATTTTCAACCTTAAGAATTCGATGTCAAGTATTAAAAAGTTATAGTTTATTTTCTAGAACAGGGATTAGCTAACTACGGACCACCAGCCAAGCTCAGTGCAGAGTCTGTTTCTCTGTTTCATGAGTGAAGACTAAATCGTTTGCATTATTAAAGGTGGGAAAGACCTGAAGCATAACTCCGTGTGGCATGGGAGCTACAGGAAACAGAGTTAAGGCTCACAGATGAAGCCTGCATGGCCCAGCCACGCGCTCTCCTTTCGCATGGTCTGTGTTGGCTTCTCCCCTGCAACAGAAGAGCTGGGGAATTGAGGCCGATCTGTATGGCCCTCAGAGCCTAGAATTCTTTGGGTTCTTCCTACCTCCTCCCAGGAAAAATACACTTTTCCCTGTTTCATTCACTTCTATATTTCCAGACCTAAGACAGAGTCTGCAGCATAGCAATCAATAATACTTTTCAAAGGATGAAGGGATGTCATAATCCTATGTTCTTTACCCAGCAGATCTAAACGAAGTAAATAAGGCAGTTACATTTTTGAAGAATTACAAAATAAAGCTTACTAATAGCGTGACCTCAGCGTAGGCAGAATTCCACACATTTTCAGATTCATTATTCCTGGCCAAGTCAGAAAGTGTGGAAAGCAAATCCAAGGCAAGACCCCTTCCCTTCCACAAACTCCACCTTGGCTGTATTCAAGGTTCTGCTGGCCCTGTTAGGATGACTACATTGGTTATAAATGTGCAAACACATGGTCTTACACTAATTAAAAGTGGTTTTCACACAGCAGAGGGCTAGGGTGCCACTAACTTAATACAGAACTGTATCTCTTTTTCAAGAAATATAAAGTTGGTTTTTTTCCCCCCTTCAATCAACTCTGAATTAGTTGTTTTCGTCTTGCAGGACACGGAAGAGGCACAGCACAGGTTTCCTCATAGTTCCACTTGCTACACTCTTCATGTCTAAAGTCCCATAATTTCATCTAGCTTTTCCACCCGCTGCCTGGCATCTGCCGGGTAACTGCATAGCAACCCCAGATGCTGACCCTGGAGGCTGATGGGTACCGGCAGCCTTAGCTTTGGACTCTAAGTCGCATAAGGTCAGTCTGAGCCTGTGGACTATAAACAAGGAAGTGACTCTTCAACGCTAGTCAGCTTTCATCTGATTACTTATATTATCCTAAATCCCCAAATGACCCAATTTTTTTCCAGCCTACCTCCTAAAACGACAACAGGCTAGCAGAAAGCCTGGCTGAGAGAGCCATGACCCAGTTTACAGGTGGGAGGATGCTGTTATCCCTACCCTCTTCTGGAGGAGAGTTCTGTTAGGAGATTTTTATCAATGGCTGTAATGAAGAGCTAGTTACAAAGTGAACGCTACTTTCACCTGGGTTCCTGGTGCACAGGTGAACAACACGGATGGTCTCTCATGCTTCCAAAAGGGTGAGTGTGAGGCAAGCCCAGTAAACAGGCTGAGCTCATCACTGAGAGGGTTTGGAGAACTAACAGTGCAAAGAAGAGAAAACGCGGCCGGCCTTATAGTTGGTGCTGGTTGTCAACTCAAGAGACTCTTGAGTCACGTCGGAGCCTTTGGGGATTATCATATTATTTACTTACTACCTGTATATGTTCGTGCATGTGCACACTCTATTACCAGATGTGGAGGTCAAAGGACAAATGACAGAAGTTCTTTCCTGCCACCATATGGGTTCTGGGGCTCGAATTCAGATTCTCAGACCAGGCGGGAAGCACCCTTACCCGCTGAGCCCCCTCACTGTCCCAGGACTATTCTAATTACGTCAGCTGAGATGAAGGCTTACTGGCTGGAGCCAGCACCGTGCCTTTTGGGATCCTGGACTATACGAATGGGGGTGGGCACTGAAGAGCGGCATCCATCGGCATTCTCTGCCGCCTGACAACGATGCCATATGGCTGGATGCTTCAAGCTCCTGCTTCTCGGCTTCCCAACCATGCTGGACTGTGCACTGGAAGTGCCAGGAAAGGATATTTTTCCCTTACATTGCTTTGGACAGAGTATCTTCTAAACTAAGACAGTAGGAGCAGACAGTGACCAGTTTGAGAAGACGTCTCTGCAGAGCTGAGGACACTCAGGAGAGGCCTGAAGACGGTGCTTCCTGCAGTGGACAGTGCTGGGAACGTCTAAGTGACTTCACCTTTCCTCTTTGATTATCCAGCGCCGGGTTTTGACTGACACGCTTGGCCAGCTAGGCTAGCCATGGGGCTGAACTCTAAGTCAATGAGAAACCCAGCCTTACAGGAGGTGGGTGGTGGGTTTTGGGGGGAGGGCACACGTCCTCTGACAGTCACATGCATGCACACACACGCACACCAGCACGCACATGAACACAAACATCATTTAAAAAGAAGTCTACCGTAGCTCACCAAAGGCCCAGTAGTCTCACCTTGGGCACACTCATAAAGCTTGGTTTGGCTGTGGAAATCAACCCCAGGGTCTGGATGGAACAGTTTACCAGCTGAGAGAGAATCTCACAGGCAGCTCCCGCTGACTCAATACTACTATCAACCTATAAAGACAATTTTTAATATGAACTTCCTGAAGGTAATGTGTCAGAACCACTGGAAATGCAATTATTTAATGGAATTTAATAACCAAGTTCTGTTGATCCCTTTCATCAGTTGAAATGACTGCTTTTCTACGGAATGTCTGATCTTACAAAGGGAGAAACAGAAAGATGGCAAAGTAACTTTGCAGCACGTCATGCTTTCAGGCCTTTATAATGACCTGGGTATTAATAATAACAGCCAAGTGAGAAAACTGAAGTATAAGTCATTTACTTACAGCTCGGGCTCTCTATCTCAGTCTGTGCAACAACTAGAGAACAACCAGAAAGCAACGTGGGCTAAAAACCCTGGCGTATTTACCAAGTGCCTCCAAGTAAGGATCCAAACTCACAGAGGGATCTCGCACGCGGCTTCGTACCTTCAAGCTGACATACTGCAGGTGCGCCGCGTGCTTCCTGATGATCTGCTGAATGAGATCGGGATGAGCGGACTTAAAATAGGAAGTGGCTGACCGGTTCAGCTCAAACTCAAACTTCCTCCAGAGATCAGGAACGTGAAACACTTCATTCCAGCTCCTACACACAGAAGACGCGCGGGCTCGGTCTATTAAAGGGAGATACCGGAAGATGTGTAATATCACGTGCTGCGGTAGAGTCCCCCAGTCTGGAAGAACAGGGAGCACACGAGCGTGGGGGAGAGAAAGGCGGAGCCCACGTCTGGGCTGCTTCACCACTGGTGAAGACCGGACAGCGTTATTCACGGCAGAGAAATGATTCCTCTTCATTCTGTAAGCATCAGAAAATGCTGTTTGTTTCTTGTCTGGCACCCCACAAACATCCGTACTCTAACTGTATAGACTGATATGCACCCCACAAACATCCGTACTCTAACTGTATAGACTGATAAGCACCCCACAAACATCCGTACTCTAACTGTATAGACTGATATAAGGAATGGGCAGTAACCCAACCAGCGCCCTTTTCACAGCAACCTTCCGCTTCCATGCACTGATAAATGCTACCGTGTGCTGAGGACAGAGCACAAACCGGCTCTCAAAACCGTGCTCAAAGGCTGAACACAAGGGTAAACATGTGAGGGGAGCATGTTAACTGCATGAGAGGAAACACAGAACTGCATGTGACTGCCTTTGTGGATGGGAGAAGTAGCTAGCAGCCTCTAATGGGAAGCATTCAAAATATACCCCGGCTTTTGTGGAAACACCACACTGAAATTCTGCTAAACTCCTGGGAGATGTGGGAGACAGTACAACTAAAAGTATCTGTCAGGAAAGTCTCAGCTATGCCTCGTAGTAACCATGTGACTCTAAGCCTGGTTTCTCATCCGTAAGGCGGAGGTCAGAGTCCCCATAAAGCTGCTAGGAGGAGTGGAGCATTTTAAGTATCGGCGTCTTGGGCATACTCAAGAAGCACTGCTGTACTAAATTGCATTTTTCTCAACTCCTTTCATTTGGAAAGGCATGTCACAATTCTAAGAGAAAACCAAATGATTTGTACTGAATTTCAGGTGGCAGCTTGGACATACGAATTCTGGGAAATGTGGGCATAGCAGGGACAGAGCGGTTGCACGAGGACATATCTGCTCCTCTGTGGTCAGTAATAAAAAACACGAGAATAAAATTATTCTCCCCAGAAAGACTCTCCAGGTATTAACTACCTGGGGACACTACCAAGCTCCAACAGCTGAAGCCCAGATATATTGATACATACAAGAACATATCTATAATTTTCTCTGCATGTTTTATGTAAGAACCCAGAGTATTAAATGTACAATTATTTGAGAGGCTTTATAATGGTAAGGAAATGGTTCTGAACTTAACTCTGATTAATGACCTAGCCCTCCTTTCACCCATCAACGTTAGGAACATATACACCAGTTTAGTACCAGATTTGAACATACTTTCACATCCACGGAAATCTTTATTTACAGTGAAAGCACACTTGTCTTGAGACTCGAGCTGAGTGGTGTGAAGCATTTCTTAACCACAACATAAAGTAGGATCCCAGAAGCAGGACTGATCTACAAAAGTCACTGAAAAAAGGGAAAGTCATTGTTAGGACTTAGAAACTGCAATGGAAAACAAAACCCTGGCCAACTTGTAACTCAAGTATCAGAGGATAACTGTTTCACGTAGTAGCCTACAAAATCATTAAAATTTCAGTAAATTAAGAAAGGCGACCCCTAATATAAAACTTTACTAGAAGAGGAGTGAAGACAAATAAAGACTTTATCCGAATGCCAGATTTTGTATAACTACCTCATAGTTCTCTACCCCGAGCGATTGTGTTATATATTCAGCTTGATTGTCCATAACAAGAATGGCTCAATTTACTGAATTCATTAAACTCCCAGTCTACTGAATCATCATAAAGAATTAACGCTGTTAGGAGCTGGAAAGATGGCTCAGTGGACACGAGCACTTGCTGCTCTTACAGAGGCCCCAGCTTCGATTGCCAGCACTCAAACGTGCATCAGGTACACACATGGTAGGTACACAAACATAAATACAGGCAAAATCCCAATATGGATAAACCTCTTAAAAAGGAATATTATGTTAATACCCATAATTTAGTAAATACATGTTAATTTTCTTTCTCCTCACATAAACTAATGAATATAAAACTTTACCCTCCCAATTACAAACTTCATACAGCACAACATTGTAGTTATGTGTGTCAGTATATTTTAGAATGTAAAATAAATTGATCTGTATTACTTGGAAATACTTTCCTGATCATTTATTCATTATTTAATGAATGAGTTTAAATAATGAGTTACATTATGGAATGCCACTTAGTCATATTGTTTTCCCGTTAAAATGTTTTTCTTGGAAATATTTCATATAAAAATTCTACCTTAAATATAAGGGGCTATTTTTCACTTCTTTTTACGTGAAAGAAATGGATCGCTTCTTTTTCAAGACTCTCTTACCTAAAGGTGGCTTCCGAGTTACAGTTGACGCTGGACCAGTGAAACGAAGCAATTGTTGCCATAGGGTACTCACCAACATCCATTTGCCTTCACTTTCAGTCTTGGAAAACACCACAAAAGCATCGTTAGGGCATGTGGTAATCTTACGCTACGGTTATTTATAAGTCACTATATACATTGTCATTTTATTGGTAAATTATTAAAACTATTTTCTGCCCATATGAAAAACTAGGTTATGGAAATATCGCAATACTTACCAGGAGTTACACTGGAAGCTATTCATATCAGGCAGGAAACCAATCTGAAAACTCACATTTTACCTACTATTTATGGAGAGATATCCTGAAAATTTAAGGTGATTCATGATTACATGTATTTGTTTATTAGCTGTATAACTTTTTCAGCACAGTTCAAACTTCTCTGTAGTATTAAGATATATTTACTTACGAAGGAGATACATTCATTTTTAAGGGCAGTATCTGAAGACCGAAGTTTGCAAAAATGCACTTGGACTGAAAATACCTTTTGAGGTGCGAGAATGCCAGAAAGGCTGCACAGAACTTGATTGACCTGGACCATCCCTTAGAGACCCTTACGGAGACGGGCACCTAGCAGCCTGCCCCATCTTCCTGCATCCTCGGCTTCCAGACTGGGCTGGGGAGAGACGGCGCCAAGCCAGGGCAGAGTTTAGAGTCTACAAATGAGAACAAATGACAGTGCGAATGCACCTCTCCAACGCTGCACGGTGCAATTTATCCTACATTCTAACTGCCCAGAGAAACCCTAGGCAAAAAACCCTCCACACAGCTGGCGGCGAAAAGGCCTGGCGGGCTTGGGTCCGAGGCCGTTCGGGTCCACTCTCCCCCTGCCACCCGACAGCTCTGGGGGCTCGCCTCTGAGGCTCGGCCCGCCCCTCCCCGCCCCGAGCGGTCCCCGGAGCTGCGCCACAAACCTTACCTCAGAACCCACGCCTGAGCTGCAGCCAGCCCAGGTCCAGCCCTCAGGTCCAGCACAGGAGTCCGCTTGCCGAAGCCCAGCAGCCCGCTTCTCAGGTGAGCGCTGGACCGTGATGGACAGTCTGGCCCCGTAGGTCAGGCCCCGCCCACGCCCCGCCCCTCCGGGAAGCTTCGCCCCCACCGATTTGCTCGAGGTACACAGGTCCCCGTGCCCGCCCACGCCCCGCCCTTCCGGATATTCAGTACCCGGTCCCCGGGCAGCCTCGCCCCACCCCCAGCAGCTGTGTGTATGCCTTATGCCTGCCCACTCCCCGCCCCTTAATAATGCCCCGCCCTCCGGAAGTGCCTGCTCCTCAGAGATGCCCCGCCCTGTCCAGCCACGAAGCCTACGTGAGTCCACCAAGAGCTAGACCCTGATACACGCCCACGCCTCGCCCCCTCGGGAACGCCCCGCCCATTGGTGGAAGCCCCCCCTACCCCAGAAGCTCCGATCCTAAGCAGCCTTGCCCAGCCCGTGCCATTCTGCTGGAGCCCAGGGCCTCATCTAGCACTTGCAGGTTCCCAGGCCTCTAGAAGTCCTTTGGGGGTCCCAGGGCACCGTGGGCGTGCTCCTTAAGTAGCAAGCAGATGCTTGGTGAGTATTCACTAAAGTAAATGAAGGCTTGCCCAGAACTAGCAGTTTCCGGGGTTTAACTGGAGGAGGCCGCCCCGCTCCTATGTGCACACTATACTTAAGGAACCTTGGAAAGAAGCAGCACAGATAGGCCTTCGGATCCAGGAGCTGCAGGCCCGGACTGCAGAAGGTCACCTATGACCTGCCAGCCTGCCAATACGAAAATGATGTACGGTTTTAAAGCTTATTTTAAAAATTGCTTCAAAATATGAGATCCGCCCGTGCACAGCTTTCAGGACACAGTGCTACACCAACATATAGTCCCTCTCATGCTCATTCTGTAATGACCAGTTTCACTGCTGTATAGCCGACAAACATAAATTGCACACACACTACGTTTTGTTGCCTTTGAAACCAGCATGGCAGCCGAGGGAATGAACATACCGCAGACCTATGCCTCCCCCAGATTTCCCTAGGTCCTTCTGTGTTTCCCCTGCCGCTGGCCTTCCTCACCTGCGCTCTGACGTTTTAGATTAATTTGCAATTCATATTATAAACTGAATTCTGTGGTGTCTAGCCGTCAGTTCTTTTTCCTCGGGAACTCAGTTGACTCAGTTGCCTCCAGGTGACCTATACAGACTATTTTATTTTATTTTTTTCCTATTTTGCCCTTCTTTGATCTCTTTTAGATTGTTTTGTCACCTTATGAACTAGATTCACATGCCAGTCTAGATCTCAGGTCTGCTAAAGCGTCTCCTTCAGAAACCCATTCCCACCATGGGTTCAACGAAGCCACTCCCAAGCTCGTGTGCTCCAGGCAAGGCTTTGCAACTTGATCTATCTTGAACCCTCTTAGACTTCCAGCTTGATCCCTACTCTGACCCCCTGTGGTTCAGCCCTGCTTACACATCTCACTACCCATAGCAACTCCTGCCACAATAATAGTAATAGTAATAATAGTAATAATAATAATAATGTTAGGTGTGTCACCGAAAAACCCAGAAGCCTGGAGCCCTCTGCTCAGCTCACAGGTGTTTCAACAACCAGAGACGCTTCTCTGCAGCTCAGCATTAAGCAGTGGTATACTGCTTCTTCTAGACAGCTTGGGAAGCACCTCTGAGAAGACGCCAAGATTCTGAGTCCCAGGTCTGTGATCTTCTCTACCTTCTGTGGCTCATGAGCCTCTTCCTCCCTCCTGGAGGGGCTGTTTCATTTCAAGAAAATAGCCATGCACTATCTCGTATCCCACAGATCATGCCTTTTATATTCCCGTTTTAAAAGCCTTCCATCGTTGTCCTTGAATGAACATACCAATTCCTCTACCTTGTCGTTAAGCCCTAATAATTTGTCCTCCCATGATCTGTTCCCGGCTTTCCAGGGGGCTTTCATTTCGCTTCCTGGAACTTTCATTTCCAGCATCGTTTCTGTGTGGCTTCCCCCAGGTGCTTCTGTCTTTATTGAATTCCGCTCATATCCTACATTGACATCCTTATTTCATTGCTGTTTGTGTTCTCTGGGATTTTATTCAGGAGTTTGCTTGTGCCTTCTTTCATTTCTATGAATGGATTGATCGTCATGCTTTTGAACTCTTTGTCTGGAATTTCATCTAGGTCACTCTTGTGGAGGAGCCTCACCCTAGGATGGGCAGAATTTGAAGGAGACGTCTTGTTTTGTTGTCGTTGCTCCTTCTGTTTTTACGTTGGGACCTGCCTATCAGGAGTTAGGTGGTTGGTTTAATTTATTATGTTATTTAGATAAAGCTTGTTCTTTTAGTTAGAAGTCTTTGCAATGTTTCGGAAGACTAGGTTGGTGTAGGGTGGAAGTTTTACTTTCCTCTACTAGACTGGTGTTCAGGGAACCAGGCTCGATTCCCAGGCTCTGTTCTCCCTTGCTGGTGAGAAATAAATTCCCACTGGTTATATACAGCCTACCCACCTTATGGTACTTTGTTGTAGCAGACCAAATGGACTCAGACAGCAAGACACTATCCAGGATTAGACCCACTATGAAAAGAAACAGAGTAATAACCAACTATACCACTCACCCTGTGCGGAGCTGAGGAAGCCCTGAAAATGAGGATTAAACTAACCAGTCCCGAGTAAACGTGTATGGTTGACATGATCACAGCCATGACAAGGACCCAGTGCCTCAGACCAGACAAAACCTTTCCCCTAGCGGGGGCGGGAGGTTAAAGAACAGTAAAGTCTTCTTTTGGTCCCACTGTGAATGTGGATGGTGTGTGCAAATGTGGATGTTTGTGAGCAATTAACCAGTGTGTGCAAAAACTAGCAGCTGCGGCTTCCTCCTCCCAGGGGTCTACAGCCAGAGACTTCTCACCCTCAGTGGCTTCCTTCTGAGATAACTCCTCCCTGATGCTGGGGTTCTAGGTTGTTGTTTCAGGCTGGAGCCTCTCTACAGACTGCCCATGGTCCACCTGCCCCCAGCTTTTCTCACTACTGTCTGTTCTGTCTTCATGTCCTCATCGCCCCAATCAAGTTTCCAGGTCAAGACTTGCAGGACACCGCACACCCTTAAGCAGATATTCCTTTAGGGAGTAAAGGGACATTGACCGTACTGTGAGTTCTTGTGCGTTAGGTGTTGTCGGTATAAGGAGAAAGAACAGAAAAGAAGGGGGGGGGGGAGCACACACTAAGATTCGTGTTAGTGCATGAGAGAGAGCAAGTGGAAGAAAGGAATCTCATGGGGTGGGCTCTAGGGGCCAAAACATGTTAGGGACGCGAGGAAGGATTTACACTAAAAAGCAATAAAGATGTGTTGTCAGATAACATGGAGCACTCCCATCTCCACGTTAGGAGGCTAAGGAAACCAGGCCGGTTATGGTCTTCAGGCAAGGGGGAAAAAGAAAGAAGGAATGATGGGAGAGGGGTGGGGAACCACAACAACATAGGACAAGAACAAAGAAGGCCAACCTGGCCTTGGAAGTCTGGACATGTCTTCAAAAGGAGTAACTGGCAATAGGATTTGTCGGAGATAATATATCTACCTTTATGAAACAGATGCCCAAATCACCTCATTTCCTCTACTCTCTAGGTTTCAGAGACAGTGTGAAAAAGCCCAGAGGCGATGGAGACACATCCGGATTCTGCTACTTCCTGTTGTACTATAGACAAGCTGCTTCCCTCTCTCGGCCCACTGCTTCAGATAACAACACATTGTTTTCATAGAGCTACTAGATGAATTAGGACAATTTGTTGGCAACAAGGGCTTAGATAATGGCCGGCACACGGTGAAGTGCTATGTTACGAATGCTTGTGCTCCCTCCCCAAGTCGTTTGCTGATTCTGAATCATAAGCCGGTTTCCTGGATGTGATGTTTTGAGGAGCCCATTAGATAGTGAGGGTGGGGCTCTCATAACTGATGTTAGTGTCCTTACGAAAAAAAGACTACACAATGCTACCATCTCCTACCCAGTGAAGATGTAGACAGTAAAACCGATAAAGTAGGAAACAGGCCCACAGTGAATCCTCAGGCATTTAATGTTAAACTCCACGGCTTCCGTATTGTGAGAAATAAATTCCCATTGTTTACCAGCTACCCAGTTTACAGTACTTTGTCACGACAGGCTAAATGGGCCAGGACAGCAAGTCATTCAGCACAGGCAGAATGGTAGTCGCATTCTCTGATCCCTCTAGCCCGGTGCCATGAGCTTACTATGGAGAACAACACAGACATTCCACTTCATGCGGAGCAGCAGGTCCCGGGTCATATACATGAAAACGCTAAACATCTTCAAAACCTTGGTCCCATTTAACTTCCTGCTTTTTCCTTCCTTCCTCTCTATTAAAACCTGACTTCCCATGAAGACCCTCACCAAGCTGGTCATGCCAAGAGCTGGAAGGTCACTACCCAGGCCACTCTCTGAGTAGAGGTAACTATTTTCCACACCTGGATTAAACTGTACTTGATTCAACAATTACTTCAAACTCTACAGGGTGTTCATACACCTTTTTGGAAAGAAAATGCATATGAAGTAAGCCAGGAACATTTTCTGAAAAAGGGGTTGTTATTGGGGCAGCGGCATCCTGAGCTTCTTTCTCAACTGCCTGTTCCCAGGGAAGTCTTCAAGAATGTTGTTTGCTCTTGGTGTTTTGTAAGTCTTCAGACTCATTACCAGAAGGTCAGGATGGGAGGGTGGATCTGGGAAGAAACAGAGGGAGGAACGGAAGGTAACATGATCAAAATAAATTGCCTGATGTTCTCAAAGAATTAATAAAAATTATTAAGGAAAACGCTAAGACTTCCCAGTGAGAAAACATGAGAAAAATACAATGATACATACATACACACAAAGCTATCATCAATAGTACAATGATACACACAACACTGTCATCACTAGTACAATGATACACACAACACTGTCATCACTAATACAATGATACACACAACACTGTCATCACTAGTACAATGATACACACAACACTGTCATCACTAGTACAATGATGCACACAACACTGTCACACTAGTACAATAATACACACAACACTGTCATCACTAAGGTCACTCTTTT